GTGTGTATGTCATCACAAAATGTTTACTCTTTTCCGGTGTATCTTTAATGTATTAGACATCCGAGAATATTCATATTTCCTCTCACTTAAACCGTCTTTGACTCCCCTCTTTAAAACTTCTCTCTGTTAATCCCCCTTTAGACCTTCCTGTTCTTCTCTCGTCTGTTACCCCTCCCTATAGCTTTCATTTACTCATCCCACATTCTCATACATACACTCTCACTAAATTTTATTTTTTATTTCCGGAGATGTTTTTTTCTGTTTTCTTTTTGAATTTGTAGCTCTGATGAATTGGATCATATTTACGATTCCAATGGAATAAATTATGACAATGGAATATTAGTGTTTAAGCCTTTTTTATATATATATATATATATATATATATATATATATATATATATGATCGTTTCTGTTATATAAATGTTTATTATATAAAAAAAATTGTCAGATTTAATCTATTTTATATATATATATATATATATATATATATATATATATATATATATATATATATATATATTAATCCATTTCACACAAACACACAAACACACACACATATAATATATATATATAAAGTATCCAACAATGAGTGCTGCTGGTAAATTATTATATATATCTATATCTATCTATGTATCGCTCTCTCTCTCACTCTCTCTCTCTCTCTCTCTATATATATATATATATATATATATATATATATATATATATATATATATATATATAGATAGATAGATAGATAGATAGATAGATAGATAAGATAGATAGATAGATAGATATGATGTAACAAAAATTGTCCATTTGTTAGATTAAGCTTTCATCCATTGTATCTTAGAAATGATTAAAGATCTCTTACTGGAATTCTCGAGGTTTTTATAACGCTATTAGACTATACTTTGGGCAATAAGAATGTATAATTACCCTCTAAGCTTAACAGAAGCGTCTTGATGAAATCGATCCCAAACGAAAATGGCATGATTATCATTAATTAATCATAGCTAAGAATCGGAAGCTGATGAATGATTGAAATTAAGTTCACACACACACACACACACACACACACACACACACACACACACACACACACACACGCATATATATATATATATATATATATATACACCTAGTGAGCCAGACAAACCTACCTAGGTTTCACCAAAACGGATCGTCAGGGAAAGCTTGGCTAACGAGGCAAAGGGAAACACACATTTATAGGTAAAATCACGTGACAAAAAAAAAAAAAATAAAAAAATAAAAAAAAAACATATTATATATATATAATTATTTATTTAAAAATATGATTCCAACTCGCGACATAAGAGGTCTCATGTTTCAAAACAAGAGCCGAAAACTTCAATATAATTATTTGAATTAAATTGAGTTAAAATAAGGTCTGTTCCATCTTCAGGGGAAATTTTTTTGGAATAACGTATTTCTGAAATCAAAATGTCCATGGTAACAGCTAGGGTGAATTGTTTAAATTGGGCAGGCGTGTGTTGGGTGTTAATAATAAGTATCAGTATAGAGTTACTTTCATAGATGTCAAGTCAGGGAAAGGTGGGGTTGTCTAAATTTGAAACGGACGAAGTATTAACTCTAGTCTAGATTGCGTGTCTATGGAGATTTATTTATTTTTTTATTTTATTTTTTTATGGAAGGGATTTGTGCATATAAAAAAACTGCCGTAACGTTTGTTTTTTGACGACTTCATAAAGGGTTATCTTTTTTGTAGGGTATTTAAACTATTTATTTGGGCTATGGATTATGAAAGTTATTATATTGTATGCTTGTTTTTAGCTAATTATTCAAACGATGAATCTGATTATGTCGACAAAAAACCGTTAACTCATGTCTATTGTTTAATAGATTATTATAATTTAGAAGCTTAATAATGTGCAGTTTCTCATGGAAGCGCAAAGGACATGGGTCGTCCCAAGTTTTACATGTTCTAGCCCTGTTTATAATTTTCCATTTTACTTTAGGTGTCGTATTTGTTTCCTTCAGATGCCAAAAATATTTAGATAGGGAATTCTGATTTCCTTTATTTATATTATTGAAAGAGCACTTATGCTGCCTCCATCTATCTTTAAAATCATTCTTCGTGGACCCTCACCACCGTCATCTCTATACAGTCCGATGTCCTTAATATCAATTTCGCGGTATGCCGTTAAGTTGTACAGTATTAGAAGACCAACAAGATCAGAAGACTCCGCAGAGTCTAATAAATCCCATAGTGATGTCAAACAGGTAGTTATTGTTTTTTTATCCATTTGTCCCCATTATGAATGAGGACCGATTTCTTTGCGCTGAGGATTATATCTGTTTCTTCCTTTGTCAGGTTAGAATACACAGCAGTAAAGTCCAGGGCAGTCGTAAATAGATCCTTCGACATTGATGGGTAGTAATCCACGATGTCGAACTGTATTAGGATGCAATTCGGTTTATCATCAATATAGTTAAACCAATTGATGACATCTTTAGTATTGATCCATAATTTTAATTCCAGTTGTTTTTTTATTTGGCAGGTAATTTTTTCCAGGATCCTTTTGCTGATCTTTCCTATGTCGGGTGGGGTAGGGTTAATTATTCTAGTTGCAGAGTTTTCTGAAAAGTCATGCTTATGGTCCTTAAGAGTTATGTAACATTCTTTTTCAGCAAGTTTACCTACTCTATCGCTAATTTTTAATTTATCAGTTATTTTTTTTACTAGTTCTGTTTATGCTATCAACCATATTAATGTTGTTGTTGCAAGCTTTTTTATAAGTCCTGGTTAAGTTTTTTTTAATTAAGTTGTTGTAGTCATTGACAGCCAATTTATAGAAGTTGCCGGTTTTGTCAGACTTAACTAATATTTTGTCACAATCATTTATGCTTTTAACTATTTGGTCTAGATGTTTTTGGAAGTGGCTTTTCTTTTTTTGAAAGGAGATGTTGTTGATAATGTTGAGTAGGTCTTTTTCAAATTCGTATAGTTGTTTGTTGAATGGTGCAACTTTTTTACTTCTAAAGCCGTAAACTTCGCGTTCTTTATCGGTTGAGTTATTCCCACGAAAGTAGAAGTATGTCTTCCATCTCATCCTTCTAATTAATTCCTCTGTTTTTTTTGTAAAAGTTTAACAAAATAATTCCGTTTGTTTGTTTGTGGAATGTTTTTCAGAGAAATCCCGAAATTAACTTTTTCCATATTTTTAAAGGAGTATTTAAAAATAAAGGTTTAGAGTGCTCGACCTTAATTAGGGAGCCAATAATACGTGAAAATATATAGAAAATAGGAAGGAATTGGTTAGGTAAATAATCCAAAGTTCCTTAGTATTTTAGTTATTATTTTTTAAAAATAGTGCTCGATACAAAAGTAGAGCATAAATATAATCATTTATTTAAAAATATGATTCCAACTCGCGACATAAGAGGTCTCATGTTTCAAAACAAGAGTCGAAAACTTCAATATAATTATTTGAATTAAATTAAGTTAAAGTAAGCTCTGTTTCATCTTCAAGCGAATTTTTTTTTTGGAATAACGTATTTCTGAAATTTACGTGTTTTAATAATTGAAATCAAAATTTCCATGGTCACAGCTAGGGCGAATTGTTCGTCAACACAATATTTCTACACGTGATAGTACTTGACGTAATTTTCAGTTGACAATATGAATACAATAGCGTTTTCTAAAATCATCTAGTTGCTAAGGACATTTTGTTTGTTGTTAATAGTTATTTGCTTTCAATAAATACATTTCGTTTTTCCTTGAAAAATTCCATATTGGCTAATAATACTGTTTTCCTATTGTCTTTTATCTTTATTGTCTTTTCTATAGAATAACTCTGAGAAATTCTTCATATATATATATATACATATATATATATATATATATATATATATATATATATATATATATAAAACAATTTTAATAATACTTATAAAACATCTTTTCTCTTCAAAAAAGGAAGAAAGTAAGACATAAGCCATAAGGCATACTAGTCTCAAAAAGAAAACGAAAAAACCCGTGTTATAGCCGGAAACAAAAAGAAAGAAAGACGAGATAAAATCAGGAAAAAAAATTGTTATAACATCATTTCATCACCGTGTTCGAAATGTAATAACCTATTATAAGGTCTCTCTCTCTCTCTCTCTCTTTATATATATATATATATATATATATATATATATATATTGAAAGCAATCTCTTACTACTTCAGTTTCGATCTCTACGATAATTCTAAAATCATGCTCTGCAATCAGTTGCTAAGTATTTAACAGCAACTCCTTTAACGACTGCACGTGTCAATTCGACATAGCGAATGATTTGATCCAACACAGCCAATAAATGCTCGATGAGTTTGAGGTCTCTAAAGTTTACTTTGCCGATTTCCCGAAGTAAATGCTTTTCAGATTTCTGAAATCATTGGTGTAAAACGAGAGCCTCAGTGGGCATTGATTTGTTGAAATGTTCCATTAAAATCGCAGAAGCCTATTACCATGGCGTGTTGTCTTCAATGTATCATGTTCCTTCAGGATGTTGGCGACCAGAGTTCTACAAATTTTCTATTCTTTGAAGCATTAAATGAGTTTTGTTTCCTTACAGTCCCTCCCTCGTTCTTTTCTGTCACTCAGTTTCGTCATTACTTCTACATGACATCTGAGTTTTAAATTCTCCAAGCTTTTTACCCTTACGTCCCAGATCTCTTTCTAATTTTGATGTATAAATTATTTTTCTTCACATTTTGCTTAAATCATTTTCGCTGTCTATGATATTCTTAGCATTTTTCTGTGGAACTACATCTTTGTTGCCTGAAACCTCGTTTAATAAGTGAGAAATTTTTTCAACATTTACTGATATATAGCGGTTCAGCATTCGGTTATTTGTTTCTAATAAACATTTCGTATTTCTTTGTTTTTAATATTACTGAAGTAAGTATCATACAACAGGGTTACTGCTACATAAAGGAATGTTACCTACATAATCACTTTACTTACACCGACTTGTCGTTTACTTACGGTGGATTATGATGTCACCGTTTTCCCAGAATAACAAATCACGTATATACTGCTTTCTTTTTTTCAAAAGAAAAGACAGAGATACCCTACCGTCTTCTTTTTGCCGTTTTGAAAAACGTGTATCATCGAACCTGGAGACATTTTATTTACACAGTGTCTAGTCATGCAGTTAATATGCCCGTTGAAGATGCATTTTTTTTGTCAAATACTATACTGATACTACGCAGCCACATATAAAACAATGATTAATTAAGACTTTGATTAAAGATATCTGAAATTTCTGCTACAGTAGACTTTATTGGTTTGTACATGCCAATAAGACTTCCGTTCATTCCTCCTATCAATATGACTGGAGCGTTCAATGTCTTGTGCGGGGTTGGTGATTTTCTTTCCTCTGAACAACCCTGATGTTTACTTCTTCATCATTAGAATTGTGTGCACTCCACAGAATTCATCGTTTCGAATTTATTCGGCTATTGTAATCTGTAAATAGGTGTTGCATTCTGTGTCATTTCTAGATCCTCACGCTGCTACATAAAACGGTACCAACGAAAAGGGTCAATAATTTTCGGCATTCGTTTTATTATGTTGTATAGCCCCTTGGTGTGGGTGATCTTCGTCGACGGCATCAATTCAATATGTAAAATTGCATTCTTAACTTAGTTTATTAACGTCGACGTATACATCGAAATTATGTAAAATTGCATTCTTCTGTCGCGCCCGGTGATTGATAGTTGTTTTGAGTTCGGGGATAAAAGAAATTCAACACATTTTTAACTTAGTTTATTAACGTCGACGTATACATCTTCTAACTAGCCCGTGTGTGTGTGTGTGTGTGGGGGGGCTCTCCCTCCACTAGGGAGCCGTATCAGACACGAAAAGGAAACGTCTACATTGTTTGACGGTTAAGACTGAACTCATCGAAAATTCTTTCTCTATCTATCGTTCTCACGCTCGTTCAGCCAATCAAAATCGACTTCCTTGTTTTGTCTTCCATCTGACCCGGAAAGTCAACCTCAGGAAATCGGAGCAGAGATACCATCCCCACTAAAAATAATAGTCTGCTAAGCTACTATTCAAAACCCAGACAGATTGCCCCGCCCACGAGGAACTTCGGCCAGTTACTCATCATTTTGTCCCTGGCCTTAGCATTCTGTAACATAATTATTTGGCCTTCATCCAAGTCATTTCTATTGTCTCTCCAGTATTTTCAAAGTAAAATTCTTGGGGAGGGTTCACTTGTTTATTAAATCTGACATGCACAGTTGTTTAAATGTTAGAAAATCAAGGATCATGTTTCGTAGCAAAATAATTTAAAGAACAATATAAGTTCGACGGTGGAATACTTGCAGCTGACTAAAGTATTCATTTATTATGCTGCGGAAGATGCCACTGATTTTCTTAATATTTGTTTTATAACAACTGCGATCGACATCGTCATTATTTAATAAACGGTTAAAGCGGCTTTGAGTCTTTGCTTTTGAAAATACTGGAGAGAAAATCAGAATAATTTGAATAAATGCCAAATGGTTATTTACAATTTAAAAGTTTTGTGTATAATCGAAATGACGAGTTATGAGGAGCACATCCAGTGAGTGCTGAGGATTAAACATCAGGGTTCATCCGAGGAAAGAAACCGCGCACAAGGCATTGGACGATCAAGACATATTGATACGAGAAATGACCGGCGGCGTTAATGCTATGTACAAACTACCAATAGGTCTACTGTAGCAGAAATTTCAGATATCGTTAATCGAAGTCTTACTTAATCATTGTTGTTTATGCAGCTGCGTAGACGCAGTGCAATTGTAATAAGCCTGACAAAAAACGTCTTCACTAACTGTATAACTAGGCAATTGGTTTTCTTACTTAGCAACCAAATCCGACAGTAAGGCTTCTGACTGCGATATTTTGAGGAGCGTGGAACCACCTCTTAATTGGTGTCTTTCCCAGGTCTACCCTGACCCGGGGAGGGCAAATAGCTACCCGACAAACTGGCGTCAAAACACTATGAAAGTATAAAAATACATTTTTATAATAAAAATAACAGAAATACATTTTCGTGGCAAAAGAAATTAACAGCAATATATTTTTGAAACGAAAAATAATAACAGCAATAAATTTTTGACAAAAAATGAAAATATTTCCATCAATACATTCTTGTTAAAAAATAAGAATTGACAGCAACACAATTTTGTAAAAACAAAAAAATGCTAACAGTAATTATTTTGTAAAAGAAATTACTAATACCTCGATATGCCGCTAAACTAACTTTGAAACATTTTATTTTAATTGGCTCATAATTTTGGTGGTTTCTCTTCTTTGTCTTCAGAAACTGTTATAAATTTTATCCTACGTAACTATTAGTTGGTTACATAAATTCGTTAGTTTATTTTAATACGTCTTATTTATTAATAGTTTTGAAGAATCCTTCATCAATATCCTCCCCGTCATTGTTCACAAATTCCTGCCAACGATCGACTTACTGTTCAATGCCTTGACAATAAAAATCACTAGGTTTTGACTCGAAAAAATCATCGAGTCATATTTTAAGCTCCACATCGTTGCTGAACGAAACACCCCTTAAATGGTTAGAATGCGACCGAAAATGATGGTAGTCTGAACAGGCTAAATCAAAAGAATATGGTGGGTCAGACAGAACATCCAAACCAATTTCTTCCCTTGTATACACGACTATCTTGTTGTCAAACGAGTAACCTGGCAGCAATGAAGAAACGTCAGATTTTTTTTCTCTGTCAATGTGTGTGGCACATATGCGTTGTGTTTCTGGGCCTTACCAACTGAGTGAAGATGACGAGCGGTGGTACTATGAGAGATTGTTATCTTCTGAATCAATTCCCTAGTTATTTGGAGCGGTATTCTTTAATCTGTGCGTGCATTGGTTTTCATCAAACTGAACAGGTGACCAGAACGCAAAGAGTCTGCGAGTTAGCACTTCTTCCTCTTCAAACGGGAAAACCATTTCTATACCATTCTATCGATAATGAAGTCATCTCCGTACAGAGCACAAATGTCTCGAGATACTTTGACAGCTTTTTGACATTGATTAAAAAGAAAGAGAACCTGCCTATCCTTGTCTATTCAATCTCAAAGGGGTGTGTAATCTGAGATAAAATTTCAATTTCATTAACCAACAGTCACACAGGATGACCAGAGTTTCTAAGAAGCAAAAATTCTACGAAAGATTATTCATCGAGATCATTCACAGAACATCAAAAATAAAACGAATATATCGTACAACTTAATATTAAACAAAAAATGTAGAAATTCGACATGAACGACTAGTAATTGAATTTTTCAACCATCGGTTTGGTAAAAGAATTTTCTATTCACTAACTATGATATCATTTACTCATTACAATCGCGGGGACATAGGTTTTATCATATTTGCAACAAGATCCCAGAATCACAGAAAAAAGCTGCAATAAATTGATCTTGGTTGCATACAATATGTTATCGATCTTTATTTTAGACAATATTAGAAAATGTATTTTACTCCATCAGTAATCAATTTTCACGCAAATAATATATCAAATATCGTACAAAAGAATCAGCATTATTTCCCATTCTTTTCCTGTATCCTGCAATTATTTTGATTTCGTCACAAAATACCGGCTTTTCGGGCGAGTGGATGAGATAGTTAAGTAACGAATATTTAAATCAGCCAAATGTCTCCGAAAAGTTGCCGGCCGTACAAAATGACCAGAAAGATAGGTAGGGAAACTGAAGAGAGTGAACGGAAAGAAAGAGAAATTGAGAGATAAAACCTAAAGAATGGCAGAAGAAATTGGACAAGTAACCGGTTTCACACCTGACCTTACAGCTTCAGGTAATTTTGTTTGAATCTAGCACTATAGAAATATTTTCAACTAAAGGCGCGTAGGTTCACAGAGAATAAATGAAGATGGATGATTCTTATTTTCAATGATAACCTCTTGAGCATGGAGCAAATACCTAAAGACATAATTTCATACATATATATATATATATATATATATATATATATATATATATATATATATGTGTGTGTGTGTGTGTGTGTGTGTGTGTGTGTGTATTTGTGTATGATGATAAAAACAAAGGAAAACCTATGCGTTTACATATATATATTTTAGTTCTCTCTGAAATTTTACATATATATGTGAGTGCATGTTAAAAACAGAGTGAACATTTGAAACAGAATAACGCCGCTTGGTTTTGACTTCAGTGCCCACTGATATATCTCTATCTATCTATCTATCTATCTATCTATCTATCTATCTATATCTATATATATATATATAGAGAGAGAGAGAGATATATCTATCTATCTATATATGTATGTATATATATATATATATATATTCACTGTTACATTGGGACATGTAAGTAACCACTAAAATTCGTATATTTTGTTTCGACGTTTAATAAACAATGTCTCATCTGGTAGTTAACAATGATAGTAATAAACGATCTTATTTAAAATTTCAACTTATGAAACATCACTTCATTTTCAGTTTTTGGAAAATTTTCCATACAAGGGATTTTTATAAAGAAAATGAAAATAGAATAAGAAATCAATAAGCGGAAAAGGAAGAGGAAAAAATGAAAAGCAAAAGAAGGCATGAGAAATTACCAAGAGAATGGGAAAAAGGAAAGAAATAAGAAAGACAGGAGTATATTCAAAATTACACATATACAAAGGAAGAGGAAACTTAAGGAAAATAACATGTGAGAAGATGTTGATATGATTTAAGCCGATGAAATTATATTGAATAAGAGAATTCAAATTTGAACGAAATTAAAATGCCAACAGCTACATTGGTTACAATGACGCATTTCAAATTTTATTTCATTTTTTTTATGAAATCCCATATTCAAACAAAATTATCCATAGAACGTAAATAAAGGACACTCTAAGAAGCAATACAATAATTAACAAAACCGCCCTTACATTATAAATTAGACTACAAAATAAATTTTAAATTTTATCTTTTTATATTAATTTTAAATTAGAAACTATTATCAATACAGCAAGAGAAAAAATAATAAGCCAATTCATGGTGAAGCATATTACCAGTAATTTACGAATACTAACCAATACAATACTTAAAGCTATATAATGATTAATCTAACATTTATATATAAATATTTATATAAAGTTTATATAAAGATAATATAACATAAGAGGAGTGATTATCGAGTTATGAAGTTTATCAAGATTGTACGGTTAATTCTTTAATATGTTTACAATTTACCGTAGTTTCATATCTTTGATTTAATAATATGTTTCTATTCAAGAACTTAATTATTTTCATTTTCACCTACAGAGAGAGAAAGCATGGTTCATTCACCGATCTGGAGATTCTAGTTTGTTTGAGAATTTTCCATTTAATTTTAGATGTTTTATTTTTTCTTTCATTTTCCAAAAATATTCAGTGAAGTCATATTTCATTTATCCACATTAGGATGAAAGATGATTATAGAAACTTTTTTAATTGATTCTTTGTACTTCCAATATATATTTTAGTAATCCTTGGATTTTCTACCGATGAAATATAACGCAAACGCTATTAAACGTCATTGGTTTTATTAAACGCCGATACAAAATATACATTTTTTGTGTTTACTTACATTTTCTAATGTAACAGTGTATAATAAATATTTATTGCTCTACTCTTGTATTGACCCTTGTTTTAAATTAATGTTTTGAATATAATTTATTATATATATATATATATATATATATATATATATATATATATATATATATATTTGGAAAGAAGGTCAACTCTAGACGAAGACACAATGTTCTATATACACTTATATATCTTAAAGTGGACACTGGGGTGAAGACCAAGCGCCGATCCTCTATTTTATGCTTAAATGCAATCTCCAGATCATAACCTTTGTGCCCACTATTATATTCATATTTACATACGCTCTTCCCTTAATACTGAGCACTTTTTCCCACAAATATACCATACCTTAAAACTCTATTTGTCATATATATTTATACATACCTATATATGTGTGTCTGTGTGTTCGTGTGTATGCACGTATCTAAATTCCTACTAAACTACTTACAAGCATAGCATGTCTAAAAACATTAAATAAAATTCTTTAACCTAAATCCAATAAATTTTATTGAAGTTTCTAAAACAAGCAACGAAACAAAAATACATGAAAAATACAGAAAATGAAGAAATAAAACCAATATATAGATAAATAAAATTAATAAATATATGAATAAACAATCGTGTGTCTAGGATCATAAGCTTTTTTTTATATGTGCGATCCTCCAACCGCCTAACCAGCATAAATACTCAATGTAAAGATCATGACCATGACATATTATACAAGCACACTTCCTCCAACCACCCAAACAGCATAAATAAGTAATCTAGAAATTTTAAAAATATATACAGATAAGTATTAATTCTAGAAAAAAGAGATAGGAAGGGACGGTTTCCTCCTCTTTCCCACTACTCTTAATCCCCAAGTGATTTATATATACTCTCGGCTAAATGAGAAGTACCTAAAACATTCACACTTGCTATATCTACACACACTCTATCTCCGATATCGAGCACTCTTTCACAATGAATAGAGCAAATTATAAACTCAACACACACACATATACACACACACATATATACATATGTGTGTGTGTGTGTGTGTGTGTGTGTGTGTGTGTGTGTGTGTGTGTGTGTGTGTGTGTTTTGTCATCATAGCTTGAATGTATAACACGTTTTTGAATCTCTGAAATGGTAAATGTTGATAAAAATAAGTAGCATTCAATAAAACAGTTATTAAAACTGCTAAATATTTAGCACTTTTAAATCTTTTTGTCTATCAATGCGTCTTTGTCTACATGAATTTTATTTGGAATGCTGAAGGTCAGGACAAATGCGCCACTACCCACTAAAAATTTGGGTGTATAATACATTAACCGTGTGTTATTAAATTCTTCAAACATAGGCTTTTTGCCCATTCTAAAGAAATGACTGTATTCCAGAATATTCTTGAGTGAATATTTTTACTTATTTACTCGGGGCCCTAATTAAGCTCTATTTGTAATATTCACTCGTACAGCGAGAATCCACTAAAGTTTACTGGCTTTTATTTATTTACTTATGTTGGCTCAGAGATGCTAAAACTTGTACATTAAAATATTCTCTGACGTTTTCACCAGTTTGATTTGAAATGAAAATTACGCTAACGATTACAAAACCACACATGTTTAATAGTGAATTCAATTTAAATTGTGATACGTTGTAGAAATAACCTTCCCGTTTTCTTTAAGAAAGGACTTTCTAGTTTCTAGGACTTTATAAGCAAATATTTGGAAACCTTTTCCTTCTTGAAAGATAAATAATAAATCTAAAGTGAATATTCTCACACCTAACCAACATTCTGTAATAAACAGCGATGCCTACTTAATGCTTACATCATTGAACTTAATTGACAAATTAAATCAGAGATGCTCAATTCAGAAGTGAAATTGAAATTCAGTCAAATAATGTTTTGTTTTTTTTAAGAATGGGTGTGAACTCACAGTACCACTTCACTTGAGAATTAGTCATGAACCATGCGTTATAAATAACACATTGGAAGAAATTTATGGTCTTTGTTTAAAATTCTAATATAAATGTAATGTTATTTTCTGATGCAGTTAGCCCTCTATTGAACAATTACAAGTGTACTATTTACATTGTTCGGACTGTTGCCCTTTTCTTTGTTGCCATATCTACAAGTTGATCACAAACATTTCCTAAGCTGGGCCAGCATGGTCATGAATACAATATAGGAACCCGAAATACAGTGTGTCAGAGAAAAAGAATAATAGCAACAAATTGTAACGTGATCTCTGCTTATTGAGACATTTGGTTTATAACTCAAAAACATTCATACAATGATGTCCCCAAGGACACAGGTCCTAGTGGATAAAAGCGTTGGTTGAAGCAGTCCAGTGACTTGACTCAAAGAGTTATGAGTTCAGTACCTGGCCACAGCAGAAGTGAATAAAAACTTGGACAGTTAAATTACTAAAGGGAGATAACTGAAACTGAGATATTAAAAAAAATAAAAAAAAAAAAAGGCATGACACGCGGAACAAGAACAATCACATGAAGTCGTGGATATGACAGCAAAGATGAGGACAACAGTCTGAATAATGTAAATAGTGTAAATAGTTTACAATACCTCATCTCAGAAAATAGTTACAATGCCTCAGATAGCTGTAAATAGTACAAATACCTGTAAATATTTACAATACCGCATCACAAAAGTATAACTCAACTGGAGCCAATGAAACAATAGAAACTCAGGCGTCCACATCATTTCATCGATATCAAAAGAATCGTTTCCATATGAGCCATGACACTCCTCGACTCTAATCGCAGGCCAACAAACGAAAATCTATAACCGGAGAAATATATAGAATTCCAAATCTGGATTAATTCTACTTTTGTCTCTGTTTTATTGAAGTTAGAAAAACATACCCACGTCAATTCATGATGTGTTTATGTGCCGATTAAGGTACCTTCAAGAACAGAAGGGAGAATTTTAACCCAGAGGCAAAAAGGGAAGGAAGCTGATTAAACAGATGTGGGAATTCTTTGGGTATATGAAGGATGATCAAAGAGTGAGGTGTTATGTCTTGAACAGACAAATGATTTATATTTGATTTGACATCGCTAAACATTAATTTTCTTATCTAATAGATATTTTGAATGAAACTCGAAAAAAGAAAACCACGTTATTGTTTGTCTTCTTCAATATTCACTCCATTATTTATGTCAGTCAAATTATTAAGTTGATGTGACTAGACACCAAAACTTCAAGAATATAAATAACGTGGACTTCTTGTTATTTAATAACGCTTCCCTAGCTCGCGGAGTTCCCAAACAAGAATAAGTACGAGGTAATACAAGGTGAAATGAAAAGGGCGCCAAAGTACGGTTACCATTTTATTTCATGCAACAATGTAAACCAGCAATAACATGACATAAACATGGTACTTACAGTCAATTAGGTTTGTACTTTACCTGTGAGGTGAAGTGAGGTGAGGTTGATAACTACTATCTACGAATGCCTTTGCTCCCCATGATGTGAATCTAGACGCCGGGTGTAGCACGATTTACTCTGACCTCTTCTCTGGACCGGACTGGTAGCTAACTGTGGCAAGGGCCTTAATACATCTTTGTAGGTCCCTACTGAGCCAAGAGTATTAATTCACCTCACTTATCTCCTCGCTGTTTAAAACCTGACATCATCCTTAATCAAATCTTAATGCAAACGGAGAGAGTCTGCAATTTTCATTCATTTCTGACAATCTAAC